TATAAACCAAGTTCGAAACTCTAATTCTCGGGATACTGGAAGAGGTGCCATTGACCTTAACATGAGATGAATGTTCCCTTTCTTTGAAATCTAAGAAATCCTACACTTATAATAAAAAAAAAAGAAAAATCATCTAAAATCTTATTCGGGAAATGTCAAGTTGGTCGTTTAAAAATTAATAGGCTTTGGAAAAGATCATAAAGAAAGGAGGAAATCAAAAAGAATCAAATTTAAAAGTTTCCGAAAGCTTGAATCTTCGCAAGTTTCTAAATTCTGTCATAATTGGCCTGATTCAATTTATTCAAAGTAATTTCGGATTTACGGTGTTATTTCAAAGTACCATGCCTTTTCATCTCCAAATAATTTGGTCAGAATGTGTTTTTATTGAAACTATGAATCATCTCTATCAATCATATATTTCATGAATATAAAATGAAACATGAATGTTATCAAATAGGTAAAAGAGAGAAAGTAAAGAGATACGCATACAAATTAAAATCAAAATATTTCAAGTATTACATTAAAAAAAAAAAACGAGAGAAATTTTGCAAGCGAAACAGAAAAAATATTCAAACCAAATAATAATTATCAATTCACAAAAGAAATATTAAAATGAAATATCTAACAAATGACACATGCATGCACACATACACACACATACACACACACATACACACATACACACACATACACACACACACACACATACACACACGTCTGAAAATAGGTGACACCAAAAAAAGTTGCAAATAAAAAATCCGCTTATGTAAATATTTGAAATAACAAAAATGAAACAATAATACACGGGTATTCACTCACAATATATTCCAATAATCATTTTAGAATTTCAATTAAACAAATAAAAAATTTTCAAATTCCAAAAAAAAACAATGAAAATGTAAAGCAAGTTTGTATGATGGATGGATAAGAGATGACATATATCAAACAATGTTTAAATAATGACAGTGTAAGATGTTAAAGAATGATAAAACTCAATTTACATGATTATAGCATATGATGAATTTTCCGCTTTCTCAAATGTTATCAATAATAGGTAAGCGTAAAGAGAACAATATCCTCATGAAAATGAAAAAATGATACGAAAATAAACAAATATAAATTTAGTTTCCGATATGTTTCACCGATGTTTGAATTTATTTCACAGCACTTCCAATTAAAATGAATGAGAATTGATTCAATTCATTTTAAAATTAGAAAAATGCAAAAAAAAAAGAACTGCAACATATTCGGCAAGAACTGATAATATAATAACTTGGGCATAAGTGTATACTGCAAATCACTTCTTTACACCGATCGTCACTATCAGTAGGAAAAGTTTACATTAATTGTAATATGAAGTAAGTTGGCATTAATCGCACTTCACAACTATAAATTGTTTGAATCGTTACAAGTATGTTACTACAGTAAGCATTTGCAACAAGAAAAAGTCACCATAAAAAGATTCATAGATTCATTGGCCTATAACATATTCACACCATATTCATACCATTCAAAGTAAAAGCATGAGTAAAAAGATGAAATTATTTCAAAAATTTTGAAAGACTTTAAAATTTGAAAATTTTTGAAAGTATAGTGATAGCCGAAATCCATTACTGAAAAATGAGAACTTCAAATGAAACTAAAAACTACTAGAAAAGTTGTTAAAAATAGTCGAATCAATCGTCATCAGTAAACTTTGGAATTTACAAAAAAAAATTTTCATAGATAAATCCTAGGAATATAAAAACAAGAAAACGAAGAAATAAGCTCATAACTGTTCATCACCCGAGGAAGGTAGAATTTCACCTGGAGATGTCATATCACCGTTCGATCCGACTGACGATGAAACGCTTCCAACTGTAGATGTAATTGTTTTTGGTATTGTTGCCGATGTTACTATAGTTACAGGTTTTTTATAGGTACCATGAATGATACTACCATCACCAATTCCAACTCTACTGCCTTCAAAAGTGTCATCATCCATAAATGCAGTTGAGGAACGTCGAAAATTATTCTTTACCCATCGAGCAAATTTATTTACTTTAGTACCAATATCAGAATGTGTATTTCCGGTTTGTGAAGTGGATGATGTACTACTTTTACGTTTTATTTCCTCTCGTAAAGTCTGAAATATTATTTTATCATGAATGTATGACAAATTTTATCAGTGACAGAAGCGATCATTTCAAAACTCATCTCTTCAACCATCCTATTCATTTATATTTTCATTGTAGTGACCTTAAAAAAAAAAACTCATTTCTGAAGTAGGCTAAAGAAGAAAAAACTTTAAAAGCTCAAAATTTAAGGTGAACATCAACCTATTATGCAAATTACATGAATGAAGATCACCTGGCGAATGATATCCATATCGCTGAGTGTATGCCTCCTCCACAGCTCTCGTCGATTACTTATTTTAATTCGTGTTTTCATTTTAGATCCATCACTAGATGATTTTTTTCACTGTATTGAACTGTTGGAGTTGGTATTCCATCCGCCATTTCGGATTCCGAAAATGCTACATGAGATCGATGAAGCTACAAAAAAAGACCAATTAAAGAGTGACATTTGTTTACAACATCACTGAAACTTCTACCCAATTAAAACAGCTAAAATTGATTCAAAATTTCAAGAATTGCTTCGCGCTTCAGATATTCCATTATAATTCACTTCCTCAAAACTTTAAATCTATTTCAAACTCAATTTAAATAAATCGAAGTTCTCTATCCGAACAAAAAAAAAACGAATGTTATTTTTTTCATTATTTATACTGACAAAAAGTATGAATGAATTAATAATTTATAGCACCTTTGGCTGACTTTCTGAACGTTTCTTCTCAGTGATAAATAGATATTGGCATGATGAAGGTATCTCAAGTATGGCATCTTCTGGATCTCTTGAACTACTATAGCAATCTTCACTAATGGATGATGGCGCTCCATGATGAGATCGGTTGAAAAGACCAGAAACTTCGGAGGAAAAATTAAGCTGCGTTGTCTGAGCAAAAAAAAAAAATAATTGGTGGAAATCAAAATTCCCTTAAAATTAAAAGAGAAAAAATGTAAATTCCAGTAGTACTAGAACTGCTTCAATAATGCAATATCATGATCTTTTTCATCCTACAACATTCTTTTTTTTAACTAATTGATACGATTAAAATACTCTACTAAATGATACAAATTAGTAAACGTAATACTGCCTCTATTTTATTTCTATATGGAAACCAAAAATCTTTTACAAACCACTTACTTCTATAGCTTCTAAATCAGGATGCCTAGGTGATGCACTAGCATTACGGGTATATGGTGATAAATCACTGGATGCATAATCACTACTTGCAGCAGCCAAATGATCAACGCAAGAAATGGTAACAGGAACTGTCAAAGGTGCAGATGATGTCGTACTATAATCAGATGTTAATGAAAGAGCATCTGTGGATGAAAAATCTTCTGCTGTTGTCTTCATTGATGGCGTTGATTTCTGAAAAGTGTAAGTTTCAAAAACTGGGATATGAATTTCAAAACTATTAAGATTTTTTTTTGATAAAATTAATGAAATCATTTCCAAATATCAATATAATACCTCGCCATGAGTCTTTTGTTTTAAAGAACGTTTTGTCTTCATTCCCACTTCAACGTCACGTCTTTCGAGTGCAGTAGAAGCCCATCCTTGGAGTTGTTGTAGGCGCCGAATCTTCTCACGTGTTTCAGCGCTCAAAACATCAAGAGTGGGCGAAGATGCCAAATTCAGATGTCGGGAATGATTGACGAGTTCATCCAGATCAGCATAATCATCCAGATCCGCATCAGTACCAGCAATAAAAATCCGTCGTGCAGAATAAATTTCCTGAAAGTCAAATTTAGCCACAACAAAAATGTGCATTCGCGCAATTTTTAAACAGCATAATATTGCACTTGCAAAAAAGTACTTACTACTATTTGTAAACTATAAGTCAGGGAAATAA